AAAACAGAGCCGACGAGCCAATCTTGCTGCAGTGTGTGTGCCTATTTCCTCTGTGTTGCGTGGGCTGAAGCTTTGAGTTCCCCGGCTTTTTGGGGGGGAGGCTGTTTTTTTTTGTTTTTTTTTTTTTTAAATGTTTGTGGAATCAAAAATGTTAGATAAAACAAAACCCATTTCCTCTTCACTGGGCAGGTGTGTGGCTGCATTTTGCAAACAGAGTATGAAGCAAAACTCAGCTGCTTTGCAACAGCAGCTGGAGAAATGGAACATTTTATGCAAATGATTCTAAACTATTACAATAATTATTTGTTTTAAGCCCTGATGGCTTCACTGTGGGAACCAGTAGGCCCTGTGGAGCTGGCAGGGGTGTGGGAAGCCTGAGGACTGTTTCTAGTTCTGATCTCACACAGGCAAGAAGGAAAACTTCCCTTCTGCACCCCATACTTCAACACTGTCAAGGATCTAGGGGGATGCAGGTAGGGCTTATCTGCAAATGGGATTTACATGGATTTTTAATGCAGCTGAGTCAGAAGCCAGTCTAGTTAGGCTGGTACAGTTGCAGGAAGTAGACTGGATGTCTTTTTGACACTCTCCCTGCCCTTCAACAGTGCTTTACCAGGCAAGGCAAGAAAGAGGCTGAACTTGGTTGCACCTGCATGGAGCAGACAGCTGCAGTGCTGGAACCCCTTTCTGTTCACTCCAAGCACCTCCTTTTCCAGCCGAATAGACAGAGCTCTGCGAGTAGGAAGGAGACTCTTGTGGGATGACGACACAACCTTGCTGTCTACCTTCTTATGTACCACACCTTCCCCGGCAGGGCTGTTTCCCCTGTGCATTCCTATCACCCATTTAAAACCAGAAGAGACCTGTTTCTTCCTTCCTCAAAATCCTTCCTACATTCATTTGCGCCCTGGTAGCTGGGAGCTGCTTCCACATCTCAATAACCAAAGGGAGCCAATTTCAGTTGACCACCTCAATTCACTGCCCCAGCCACCCAAAAGCCTGCAGTCAACAGGGCAGGCTTCATGAGTTGCTGGGAAGGGAAAGGGTCTTGGGTGATTGTACTTCCCTGGCCTTAAACTCTGTACTGGCCTTAAACCCTTTTTTTGCAGAAGCAGGGATCTTCCCTTCCAGGCTCAGAAGCTTCCTCAGTGTCATATGAATTGGTTAGTGTTTGTAAAAGTGCACTGTAGATCAAGGATTTGGCCATGCTGTAGTGCTAATTGAATTTGTGAGCAGTTCTTCTCACATCTGGCTTTTTAGGCTCTTGTAATGGCATCCACTCTCCTGGTTCTTTTCCTCATAGAGAATTATGACCTTGGCTGTAACTGTGTGAGTTCAGTGCACTATTTGATTGTGTGTGCATGGGGCCTTTAACCATGCTGGTCTCACCAGGTTGGCTAGGTCTCCTTTCTCCTGATTTTCTGTGCAGAGTAGTCTGTCCTGCTAAGGGACTCTGGGATAGCTGCCTAGATTTTTCTCAGCATACTCTGATCTAATACACATCATAAGAGTAGATGTGGATGTATTTGTGGCTTTGGTGGCTGCCAAGCTGCTTAATGGAGTATGAGGAACTGTTTAACTTGTTTCTAATGAAGGTGACTCATTTGCAAGGTGCAGTTTTGTAAACTATAGTTGCACCTAACCCAGGCTGTTTTACAAGTGGCAGGATTTTAAAAGAGAGCCATCTGTTATTGCTTAGTCACCGGGAATGTGGTGAAGGGATTTGGACAGAAGTCTTCTCTATCTTGTCGCCAGTGAATACTGACGTGGTAGTACTTTTCTTTTAAATCTAGACTTGACTGAGCTCTAGAGGACATACAGTGGCGATCAAAACTGCATGGTTCTGTAGGGATAGGCTAGAAGTGGTGGAACTAGGCTTCATTTTACATGTGGGAGTTGTGTTGTTGGAAAACAAATACCTGGATTCTGCCTCCTCCAGTTCACACGGGTCTTGCAGTTAGCTGCGGCAACAGCTTACTGATCTGCCAACAAGGAGAGTGCGTTCCAGTCAAAAGGCACCCAGAGCTGCTTCACACAGGAACTGGCCCGAAACATTCACTCTCTATTTATCAGTTGCCACGTGCCCTCCATTGTGTGTGACAATGCTGCTCTTCCAGGAACTTCAGAGCCAACTGCTGAGCCTGGCCACAGCCTATACATGGCAAATCTAATCTTTTTTTAGGAAAGAACATATTCGTCTAGGTGCCCAGTGGATGAAGAGACATCTGCATTTAATGGCAATTCCAAGCAACAGTCAGGCTAGTGGCAATACTGCTGGCATATGCACCTTGCATAACCATCACAGGGAAGTACAGGCTTGCTCTATTGCCCAGGGATGGGAGTGTGTCACCTGTAATGCTGCAGTCCATCTGTCCAAAGCAAACAAGGGATGTGTTTGTACTGCATAGCTCCTGTTCGAGACACTCCCCTGCTCCTAGCTTCTCTCTTGCTTCTGCCCTTTCCATCAGCTAAGTCAGATTTGCCCTCTGGTTTTTCGCCTTCCTGCGTGCGAGAATTTATTGGGGGGTAAAGATAAATTTGCTTCCCGAGAGGGACAACTTTCAAGTTTCGCTGGGAGGAGCGTGGTGAACACTGAGCAGATCTGGGAAATGGATTGCTTTTTGTTATCCCATTCTGGCTTCTCCGAATTTGGCTCCTGGAAATAAATCTCTTCCCTTCCTTAGAGGGGACTGTTCCTTCCTGGGTCACTGGTGGTGGGAGGCATTGTGGAGATGGTAATAGCAGGGTTGCTGTCTACGCTGGAATTGCACTGTGGATATATAGAGACTTTCTGTCCCCACCATCTCAGAAGTAAACAGATGAGCAAAAGTGGCAGGTTTTGGCGCTGAAAGTAACTCTGCTCAGGGAAATAGGTGATGCAATTCTGCTCAGGGAAATAGGTGATGCCCCAGTGAACCACCTCTCTTCACCTATGTAATCTGTTCTGTCAGGACAAGTTTGCATTGGAGAGTGTAAGCACAGAGGTAGGAGAGCAGCATGAATGAAGGCCATTGAGTAATTGGGAGCTGAAGGGAGACAGGCAATCAAAGGACTTAAGGTTCCCCCACACTCATGTGGGAGGGGTGAGGAGGAAGGAAG